AATAAATATATATGTATATAGCAGAAAGTATGCATGTATCCGCAGATGTATTGTTGTAGCATATATATGTCTTAAAGGCATATATGAAAATAAGTTACAGGGCATCTGGCAGTTGGTCACTGCCAGCTAATGAAATTTTACGTTGTTTTTGTTCGCGGTGCTTCGTTTATCTACTGTGCCCGCCCGCTTGGACGCTGTTTTTGTTCTTACAATAAAAATATAAAAGAAATATGGCCAAACGCTGATGCGTGGACAGCCTCGAATTTAGTTGGGTTTTGATAGTCAAAGCGCAGAGTTGGGGGGGGGCGGATATGCAAAACTAATGCAAGAAAGATGACACTAGACGTAATTATTTAAAGTATTGTCTTTTATATGAAAATAAAGACTCAGAGAACTCTGTTTCCAATTAAACTGTTTACCTATCAGAAATTGGGTTCATATATGCATAGATTTAAATAAATTTTGAGCACTTTTGTCTTATTCCCATTGTTCTGCAAATACTCAAGCTGAGCATTCATTGACAACCACTGAACAGCTTTAAAACCCATTGAGAATAACAAGTGCTATTCAGTGCACAGATAAGGCCACATTCTTGGATATTTCCCAGAAAACAGTTCCCAGTCCCGCGAGTCATTCTCTCTCCGAGCTAGGCGATGGTGTCAGCCCGTCCGCAGAGGCAGTCAGTCAATCAATGCTTCGGCGCTCGAATGCCCAGCGATGCGGACAGTGCGCGGGTTGACTTTAAATGCGCGCCCGCAAGTATGCAACAGATTTGTGGCTTTCAGTGGGGGGTCTTTGAAAGTTTGCCTATACACGCACACACACCTGCACATACACTTGTGTGTGTGTGTGTGTGTGTGTGTGTCGCTGACATGCCAAGGAGACCTCAACAAAGTTGGCGTTACGCATACGCCCCGTGAATGTTATGAAAACAAAAACATAAAAAATAAGCAAACAAACAAACAAAAAGGAGCCGTCGGCTGGGGATGCTTTCTTATATGCGGGGCACGCGTCAGTTAAAGCAAATCAACACATAACAATCTTGTACTCAAAATGCGTAAACAATGTGATAAGCAAATAGAGGAGGGAGAGAGAGAGAGAGAGAGAGAGAGAGAGGCGAGACGGCAGAGATGAGGCGGCAGGAGAGTTTTCGCGACGAGCATGCTTTTTGATGTGTATTGATGTGGTCTTAAATCTCACTTGCAAGGGGTAAACAGCGCAAAAGTATGGCATTGCTCAACACTGACAATAGAGTGTGTTTGTGTGTTATTCACTTGTTTGTTTGCATGTGTGCGTGTGTGTTTGTGAGTGTGTTTAGTGTGCTGTCATGTTGCGGATTGTCGTCTAATCTCTGTCTAAACATTACGCTCTGCGCCGCTTATTACACACTATATCCTGTGCTCTGAAGGGGTATATAGAATGTAATTTGAATGTATCAAATGAAAGTTTATTAATAATGCATTTGTAAAAGGATGAGGCTATAGTTTATGTAATTACAGTGCTGCAGTCTATGATAATTATTAATAGCTATCGATAAGAAGTTGATTGTTTTATCGATAAGCATAAATAGGCTGCCAATGTCGAGTCCATCGATAGTGGGTAATATTATAAATTTTTAACATAAATATATTTATAAGTTTGAATGAGCGTATTCGCAGCCTTATTTGCATTTGGGAAGAGTATTGGGCAGAATAAAGCTAGACAAATCGGGTTCCATTTGAATTAACATTCATTTTCCAAATACTAAGACAGTTTTTTTCTTAAGCTCCAAAATCTGCTACCCTTCCAGAGAGCATCTACGCTTCGGCTTCTATTTACTAATCGCTTCTGTTTGTGCGCCCTGATGTATGCTCCACTAGATAATAATAATGGCAAAAGGGGGACTCTAAGTGTGCTTAAGTGCTGGGCACGACAATTTCGTCGCTTTCAGCCGTAGCTGTTGTGCCTGTTAATAAGCTCGATTACCCAGCTCCTGTCGCGTCAATAAAAATTTGCCACAGACTGTCCTGAGCACCCCTGGCGAGCCCCCATCCCGCGCGCGGCTTGCTCTCGTTCGCTTTTTGCTGTCTCTTTTGCGCTAACCTTCGTGTAACGGCATTCTGTGTTGCCTTTTGCCAACTCATTTGATTTGGCTCCGTTTATATTGATATGTGCCTGCCTGCCTGCCTGCCTGCCTAGTTGCCTTCCCCCGTGCCACCCTCGCAATCGTTATATATCTACCCTCATCCCGGCGCGTTGCGTGTATTTTTATGGCATACTTTTCGGCGCGTTCGTGTGTAAATATGTGCAAATTCGCAAATTCGTTACATATTTTGTTTTGTGGCACATCATTCCGGGCAGGCTTGGGTGTGATTGTTTAGTGGATTTATGGGCAACATGAAATTAGGATTTAATGTGCATATGTCTGCTGCCTTGAGTGGATTTATTGCACATCCTGAACGCATATCCCTCGCGTCTCTGTACTTAAACATAATGCTTATGATATATGCGAATAAAGCAAATCGTTTTTGAGCTACCCCCACTCCCCCCACTCCCCCCACCGCCCCCAAGGGCTGGCTATTTGTTGTGGTTCCTTTGTGTTTGAGTTTGAGTCTGTCTCTGTGCTTGTGTTTGTGTGCGGTTTGAACTGGCTTAGCTGCTCGGAGTTTTTGGAAAGTAAGTAGCTCGGCATTGGCTTAAGCTATATGTAAGGCCTGGGCTTTGGCCACATTTGTAATTGTAATCTTGCTTGGTGAAAAGGGCGTTTTATGGGAATTTATGCGTGTTGGGCTCCGAGTAATATACAACATATAAGCCTTTAAGCAATACAGATTTCATTAACCCTACTTGCATATTAAAACCAAACGCATTTCATTTGTGTGCGGATAACATAGACATACAGAAGTATCCATAAGTACTCGTTTAGGTTCAGAACATGCTAAATTAATGCTTTAGCATTTAAGGTAAGACATTAATGCTGATTGGTTAGACAAGAGTCAAGCTAATGAGTATCATTAATAATGATTATTCGATAATGATTTCAGTTTGCAAAGACTAAATGTGATCTTGATTGCGGTTGATTCATTCCTAACTCAGATTGTATTTCATTTCTAATATCTAAAAAAGTACACTTAAAGAAAAGAAAATTTTTTAAACTGAAGTACATATAAATTTAGTTACACTTATGGCTTACTGGTATAAAAAATGCTTTAAGGCCGCACAAAATATTTTATATAATTCAACTTTTCTTGGAGAATTAGAGAATGCAGAGCATTAGGGATATGTAAATAAAACTTCAATTTGTTGGAGTGAAGCACATTTTGAGCTGCTTCTGATCTGAAATGAAAACAAGACTTCCCTTACTTAGTCTATCATAAATAATTGATGGCAAATGTGTTCTTGTTTTTTCTTCTACCATTTATATCGCTTACATTTGTTATTATTTAGCTGCTCGTATCACATCAGTTTTTATTTTTTTCTGTTATTATAAAATACAATTATGCAACCACTTTGGCTTATCGCTGAGTGGCTTTTAGGCCGCATTCTCAAGACGTTCATTCAGAAGCACACTCTAGGCGCATTTCCGACTCACTTTCTACTTCCGCTCAATTCAACTTTAAGCTCACTTTATTAAGTCAACTCGACGCGGCATTTCAACTTAATAAGCGCAACAACAACAACAACAACAGCAACAGCCGGCAAATGGCGCTATTTAAATGCTAAACAACTCTATTAAGTTGCACGACACACACACACACACACACACACGCATGGCACACACACATTTGCCAGCCAAGGGCAGATTTAGCTTGAACATTTTTGGTCCGTTTCGTGCCTCGGCCAGGGGAGGGTGTGGCAGCGGGGCAGAGTCAGGCAGAAATGGAACCTCAGCACGTTTCAAATACAATTTACAATAAATAAAATTTAAAAGCGAGAAAAAATGCTGCGACAACAGCGACTAAAGACACGACACCGACTCACGACCGAACGACTGACTTAATGGCGCCTCGCGATTGCGTCAGGGGTAACTAGGGGGGAGAGGGGGCTTGCAAGAAGTGAGCGGAGCACGTGATGCTTAGGATAACCTAACACGATACGGGCAGCACGCAGCAAAAGGTGGATCACAGGATCACAGCGAAGAGTGAATGCCCTAACAAAAAATAATAAAAAATGGGAATACCCATTATGAATATCTAGAAGTGCGCCTAAAACTATTTATTTGGCTGGCTCCTTGTCTGGTTTTTGCTTGTGCTTTAATTATTTATTTAATTTCTAATTATCAATAGCTTAATTTTATAATATAATTATTTACTTAAATTTGCAATTTATAAACTTGTGTTTTAAGGAAAGCACAAAAATTCAAGTGTTCAGGTCAAAAATCATGAAAAAAAAAACATAAATGAATCGAATTGATTTTTGTACAAAATTCTTGTTTTGACTGGTTTTTTATGTTGTTTCTGTTTGTACTTTTCTTATTTTTAAATTATTTGACCATCAAAAATTGTAACAAAAGACCAAAAACAAAAGTCGTTAATATAAATTTAAAACGGGCCACTAAAATCCCAACAACTTAATATATTGTTTTCATAAATACTTTGTAAGTCCATAAAGTTTTTGTTTTGACTAGAAGAACGCGTAAAGTATTATTTTATATAATTGATTTTTGATCAAATTATATTCTTAAAAATATTTTATATAAAATATTAAAATATTTAACTATTAATGTGATGCACGAATTTATGGGATTCTTTTATCTTATAAATTCTATTCCCGAAATTTCATAAGTATTTGTGAAATTCATATTATTATCAATAAAATGCATGTGTTATAAAAAAATTATATATTTTTCAATTGTTTTAAAGTCACGAGGAACGATTACGCAAAAAAAATTAACAAACAACTGCAAGTATTTGCTAGGGAATATATATATATATATATATTCAGGAAAAGAATATTTATGCATATATAAAAGGGGAAATGTGGGAGGTGGGCGTGACAGTGTAAACTGTAAATCGTCTTACCTTTCTCTGGTATTACATTGACGACCGTGTCCTCGCGTATGTCTTCCAACAGCTCCTCGTGATTTTGCATTTCCGCTTTAGGTACACACATTGCAAAAGGCGAGTGGGCAAGCGAGGGCGAGGGAGGGGAAGAGAGAGAGAGTCTGTGTTAAAAAGTTACATTTACAGGTAATACGTAGTTAATTTTAGCTCGCTTGGCTCTGTTGGAAATTCAATTTGCGGTTAGAGCATTGAGCAGGTCACATCAATATAAACAGATAAACAGGTTGCACAGCAACTGCCGAAAAACCAGAAACCACACACGCACACACATACATACACACACACACACACACACACACACACACACACACGCACATACCTTAACACAACCAAAATACGGGGTTTGTTAGGAAGCTTGGGGCTTCTGGCTAAACTGTTCGTTTCGAGCAGTTTTCCAATATTTTTTTTTCGGAGCGCATTTATTTGGCGCCTTCTTTACGAGCAGCTTGTAATTCTCGCGACCGCAAAATGAACTTGCACAAAATGCGCAATTTGACTTTTCTGCAGCAGCTGCAAATGAAGCTGCCAGCTATATGAAATCAATAAACCGTTGCGGCCAAGGCGGGGGGATGGGGCTGAAAGGGGGAAAGGGGCGCTCGTATATTACACAGACAGGTGAAATGCAATGCACTGCACGCATCATCAAATATTTAGTAAATGCTGCCAAATGGGTAAATGTGCAAATGGTTTTACGTTTATGCGTAACCTGTTTAGAATATGCCACTTGAGGGAGTTGGCGGGATGTGGCAACGGGCGGCGGGGGTTGTTTAGGGAGCAGCACTTCAAGGTTGACTGCGCTTTGAAACGCATTATGATTACCATTTTTGAGTTAGTTACAAAAAGCTAACTGATTTCCCATTAAGCAAAAACTGAATTGGTAGTTAGAGAGAGAGAGGGAGAGAGAGAGAGAGAGAGAGAGAGAGAGAGAGAGAGAGAGAGAGAGAGAGAGAGGGAGAGAGAGAGGAAGAGAGGGAGAGAAGAGAGCGAGATTTGGATTAATATTTTTCATATTTTACTAAGTATTTTATATTCGATCGCTATTGTTTTCTTTTATAATTTTTATTTTTCAATATTTATTATTATTATTTTTGTGAAATTATAAACCGAAGACAATTAATGCCTCTTATATTTATTCAGCTATGATATTATATACTGTTTTATTATTTGTATAATCTTATTTGATCTTAAACTGCCTTGATTTGTTTAGGTGCTCATATGCGATTCGGAATAAGAGCTGATTTCGCAAACAAGTCGTCCAGTCCTATTGAACGCGATATTTGTCGATGCGTGTGGCTGTGGATAAGCTCAACTTTTGCCGAGTTACGCGAAATCTTCATGATGGAAAATACGATAGTAAAATGCAGCCCAACTACTTTTATTTAAGCCTTTTCTAGTCTAGCTCGACGTGAAAAGTCTGGCCGTGCAGCATCTCAATTGGCGGCCGGTTAGCTGCAGCACGAAGTGAGATTTTCTTTTTTATGATGGGCTGCCCCATTTTCACGGTCACGTCGAGCTTGGCTGCTAAATCACGTCATGGCAGGCCAGGCAAAAGAATGTGATAGAAGAAAGAAAAATATAGAAAATTGGGCGAAAAATTTCACAGCTCTTTCGGCAGTCGGCGGAGGAGCTGTGTGTGTGTGTGTGTGCAGAGCTGTCTGGTTGAGGTGGCACGTAGCATTCGCTGGCAACATTTGTGGCCCTTTTGAATGCATTTTCTATGCCTGCACATGAGCCAGCATGGCAGACCGGGTGAGTGTAAAGGATGGGTGGGCTGATGCAACTATGCAACACAAAATATTACAAACAGGCTGCACTGGGGCAAGTCGAGCGCAAAGTTGTTGCCCAACTTGAACATCAGCTAAGGATTTTGCTGCTGTTGTATTTGATGTTTGGCAGCATGCCCCCTGGAAAAAGCCAAGCCCCTTCCACTCTGTGCTCGTTTGCAACCCTTGCTGGAATCGAATTTATTGCATACTTTTGTGCGTTGCTGCTGGAACCGCAAAATGTATTCGCCTTACCAGGCAGCTGTGACATTTGCACAAAGTCATTTCAACCGTTTACACTGCAAGTGCAAAATCCCTGCCGCCACCCAACCGAACGCCTTATTGTTCTGCCCCCGAACTGCTAAACCTACTGGCAGTTAGCATGTGTTTGGCGTTTATTAAAATGCAAACAGTGCCGAATTGTTGAGCATGAAAATTAATTGAAAATTTGTTTCATTTCACTTGGTTTTGGCTTTGGCTTTGGCTTTGGCCCGAGCTCGCATTCTCTTGCCATTTGGCCATTCATTTGGCTGTCATCTGCTACGCATTTCGTATTTCTTACTTTTTCTTATGACAATGTTGCTATTTGCCATTCAGTTCGAACTTCCTCAACTAGCAACTGGCGCAATTGGCAACTGCCAAATTCCAATTCATTTGGTCTATTGACACTGTCTCTGCACGCACCCGTTTAGATTCCAAGGCCTTTGCGCCTTATAAATAACTTCATTTTTTCTTCTCTATTTTTTGCTGTCATCGTGCCGAAAAACTAGGCAAAATATGCCAAGGTGGCCGAGTAAATGGCACTAAAAATCAATAGCAACCGCTTGGATAGACACGGACAGAGAAAGGGTGTTGGGTGAGAGAGGGTATGGGTGAAGGGGCATAGAAATTGGAATGTGAATGTGACAAAGTAAACTTTGGCAGGCACTTCTTCTACCTTTGAAATACTCAATTACCTTCAGGATATTTGACTGCAAATAATACAAATATATTTGTGCTACATTACGTCTAAAGGACAACATATCTTTTGTATTAGGAAAACGAGCATTATGGCATATAAATAAAACATTTCACATTGTTGGTCAATTGTAGGCAAATATGAGCACATGAACAATAATAGGCCGAACGGACTTCAACTTGAAAATGTATGACATATGCATTCTTGATTGACTTAGGTATTTATAGTCCGATCTTATGGCTTTAAAATGATGCAAGACTAACTTTCAAATTTTTTTTTTTTCATTTTTGGTGGATTTATTATGTAAATGTTAAGGTATGCTTGCCAAGTTAAAAATGAGCGGAGACATTATCAAAAAGGCTCAAAATTCAAATTATTTTTATTTTAATTTTCGATAGTGTATTAAATAATTTAGGTTATGCCATAATACCATGTCTATCGATAGCTATCGATATTAGTAAATTGAGAAACAAGAATTAGTCTGCAGCTTTTGTAGGTCTCGAGATCAAGGCACAGAAGGACATAAGATGGATAAAGTTCCTGCATTAAATTGAAGTTCAAGCTACTTAAAATTGCTGCATTAAAAATTAAAATGAAAAGCTTTTATGCCTAAATTCATAGGCAGGGCACACACCGAAGACGCTTGCCAATATACATTTTTCATTTACCTATCATTAAGCCCACAAAAGCTTATGAACATGCGTCAAATTGAGCTATTTCTGTTTACCACTTGATTGCGCTCACCTTTTCGGGACAGGACACTCGACTCGACACTGATTGTCGCTGGGCCAAGCCTCAAAACTTCATTAGCCAAAAAGCACGCGCCGAAATTGGGTGAACAGCAACAGCAACAACAACAAAAAAAAAAAAAACAGGCAGTGGAAAATCGGTAGAAAAAGAAAATCTTTGAAACGTTGAACGCCATAAATTGCACGGCGGCAAAAATAAATGTAAAGTAAATGGCGCTAATTCAAAGTAGATTTATTTATTATGCCATTTTTCTAGCGGCAATGCGCCAAGAAATATGCCTTAAATTTCTTTCTTCACAGCCTGCTGTCGCGCTCATAGCTGAAAATGAAAAAAGAAAACTTTAAAACATTGAAAAATACTGAGAAACGTGGGCAGGCAAATGAAAATATACGAGTACGCACTGTAATAATGCAACAAAAACAATAAAGATGCCTTGGAAAAAAACCATAGGGCGCCTCATTTGGCGGCTGCGAGCCGTGAGCTGCGAACTGTGAGCTGTGAGTTTTCCTTAGCTAAGTGCACGAGCATATTAATTTACGCATCCTGTGGCGCCGCCTTTGAGAAGCGACACACCTGCTGCGACAGACGCGCAACGCCTCATCTCATCTCATCTCATCTGAGGCCGCAGGCGCTTGCTTAGTCGCAGCCGCCTGGACGTCGGCTGTTGATTTTGGCCATAATGCTAACGCATTTAAGCCAATTTTCGTGTCAAGTCTCAATGATTTATTAGCCGGCATTGCAGACAGAGCCTGCCGGCCCCAATCCAAGCAGCGCCAGCTTAACGCCCGGATACGACTGAGCCTAAACGAGAGGAGGTGTCAACAACTGCCTTAAAGTTGCACAAATTTGTCGACAATTTGTAAATGCCTTCTTTTTGTTGGGCTAATGATTACAATTAGGCTGGAATTCGACAAATGTTGTAGGAGCTGAGTTATTGTTGTGTGGCAAATAAAAGTGTTGTAGAAGCGAAAGACTTGCACACAAACAGCTTAAAATCATGAGAATTGCATAGAGAGGCGTTGTCATAGCAGTTTCGAGTTGAATCGCGTGTGTGTAAATAACTCAAATAACAGTTACCTAGCTTTTGAACGAATTAGACTTTAAAATACTAGCAGAAATAGTTCTCTACACACTTAAGAAGAAATTATGAGAATCGAATAGAGACTCGCTCTTTAAGCTGCTCGAGTACTTGTTCATCAATTTGCTAATCAGCATTTCATAATATTTCAGTGTATTTCAATTCAGCTTAGAATATCTCTATTTTCTTAACCCATTCAATGTCCAAATTGCATTGTCAGTTCTCAGCTCACGTACACCACGCACACAGGTGCTTTTTCACACTCTAAGCGAGCGGGCGTAGCTTAGAACTATTCAGTTTTAGGTTCACATACGTTTAGTAATTCTGTGTTAGTATGTCTTAAGGTTTAATGGCAATAAATATTTGTTTGCACTGTCGCAAAATATGAAAGGACATAAAATATTACAAGATATTGTCTGTGCGCTAAGAAAGACCTGAATATATTGGTAGGTATTTGAATTGAAACTGTTGCAATTAGATGGCTAAACTATAAAAGTGAGTCAAAAGAACCGAAATAGCCTGATTAAACTTGTTAATAAGTAGATAGATTTCTGCAATCTGTCTTTCGTCTGATATGATATGATACGAATATAGGAAATTCAAGCTCATGTAGAAAATGTTATTAGTTGTCTGAGTAACGAAAGTAAATCCATAAATAATTGTACACATTAATTGAAATGTCCTTTCTTGTCGATTCAACTTTACAACAATAAAAGGAACCAATTTAATTTCAAAATAATGCGATTGATAATTGATTTTAGCTTTGAGCTAGCAAGTTCTTTGATGCGGACTTTCATTCGCTTAATCTGACTGCAAGCAATATTTTTACTTTTAAGTACATTGCAGCACTTACTACTATGTACCTGGGCTTGCATTTTGGCCAACTTTCGGAGAGAGAGAGAGAGGTGGGGGCGAGAGAAGGGGAGAAAGGCAACTTGGTCAGCAAACTTGGCAGATGATTATAAAACTTGAAGTTGCGTACGTGAGCTCAGATTGTGCGGGGCAGGCGGTATGGGGAATGAGAAGCTACTGATGCGTGTGGCTCTCGGAGAGTCTCCGACTTTGTTGTCCAGGTCTCCCGAGTGGCAAACCAAAGTTGCCAGTTATTAGCCAGTCAACTTTTATGCATTTAGCCTGGCCGTAAATGTAACTTTCAAATTAGAGAGGGAGGGAAAGAGAGAAGGAGAGGGAGGGAAAGAGAGAAGGAGAGAGAGAGAGAGAGAGAGAGGAAGTAAGCCAAATTTAGTGTTAAAATTCTGAGCGTAGTTCTCGTGCATTTAGCATTCCCATTGCGGCGGTGTCATGTGTCAGAACTAGCGAAACATTTGGACAACTTTATCATATTGCATTTAACTGCAGCTGCCTTGGCCAGCAACGTTTGCTAATTGAGTTCCGTTGCGTTGCGTCACATTTTTGATATTTGCCAATGCGAATTTTTAGGTATTTTTCCGACAACATTTTTGAAGCAGCAGCCTGCGGCCCTGGACGCAGGTCAATTGCAAAGTGCCATGCTGCTAAATTAAATTTTGAAAAAGGCGACTTCAAACGAAACACAAGCACACGAAGCTAACGTGAGATGTTGTTAAAAACAAACATTTGCCAAGAGGCAATAGCCGAAAAGCGCAACAAAATACAACAACAGTGAAAAATATAAGAAACGAGAAAGTAAGACACGCCGAAGATTAAATGCCCTCCCCGATATGTGAGACAATTGAAGCTGGTAAATGCTGAGTTTAATATTATATTATATCTCCTTCTAACCGTATATGCTCTACAATTTTATAAAAAATGAAGTTTTCTCTGCTGATCTGCAGCTCAAATATCAAATACAAATGTTATCTTATATGTACATTTATTTCCTACACTTTATAGCAATTAAAATTTAGCTTGGATAAAGCGACTTGTACTTTGCTAAAATATATTAAATATAAGCCAATTTTTCTATTTATTTACATAAGATATAGACAGCTGAGAGACTATATATAGATAGACGCACACAGAGAAGGAGAGAGACAGAAAAAGAAAGAGAAAGTGCTATATCTGCTCATCTTTCTGATCGACTGAAAACTACTTCAACGTTTGTGTTCCAACTTTAAACATGCTTTTCAAGTGTACAAAAGCGAAAACAAAACCGGAGGATACAAAATAAAATACAAATTACAGCAACAAAAGCTAAAAAAGAGCAACAACAAGAGCTCACACATACACGCACACACACACACACACACACAGATATAAAGCAGCAACAGAACGCCTCAAAGGCCAACAACGGCCGTGATTGTCGTTGCCTTCTTCTTTTTCTTCACATTTTTTGCTGCTGCTGCTGCTGATGCTGCTGCTCCTGTTATCCTGCTCGTTGCTCATCCGCCCCGTCGGCCAAGCGATGGGCTAAACAATGTAGAGCGCAAAAAAGTGTTGCATACTTTCAGCAGCAACGCAAAAGCGTGTGAAAGATGCACAAACACACACACACACACACACACACACACACATATGTGCACTTACGAACACTGTGAAAGAATGACGTAAATGGCAATGGGAGGGTTGTAAGAGGCAGAGCGTCAATTTTGCAGTCAGTTGGGAAATTGTTGAAAAATTGTCAAACAATTGCAGCAAAGGGGAATGAGGCCTGCCGGGCATGGCTGCCTGCACACTGCACAGTGGGCGTGGCAAGCTCAAGAAAAAAAGAAAAAAAAGCATAGCAAACATTACGAAATGCACATGAGAAACAGCTAAATGAAATCATAGCAAGAAATTTAAACTGACAAAGTCAGCGCCAACACACGAAACGTGCGTTGAGAAATGCCAAAAGATCTGCCAAGTGGCGGCGTAGGGGGATGGAGAAAAAATTGATATAGCGCTAAAGTTTTGACTACGTGATTAAAATGCTATTAAAAAAAAAAAAAACACAAACTGGCAGACTATCTGGCATGCCTGACTGAGGCGAAAAGTTTCTTGATAGCTGAATGGTAAACTTTTTAAGTTTATACATTAATAAATATATGGCGCATTTAATAGAATTCAGAGTTGTAGCTTTTTAATTATTTCTGCACTTTGATTAATTCGCTAAAAAACTTTTACTTACACGAGCTGGCCATGTTGGCGTTAAAACGCTAACAATTATAAACTGCTGAAAGTTAAGCTGAAGTTTTAGGAATAAAATAGGCAATAGACATTCAGATAATATCTATCTTTGCAGTTCTTAAAAGTATTCTCAAAAAGCCTATTTACTTTTTACATTTTTAAATTTCAATAATTGGTTAAATATCTATACTAAAATTTCGTATATATTATATATAAAAAAGATAATATTAATTAAACATTATCCTGCTTTGTAAATTAGCCAAGAATATAAATTGGCATTATAATAATAATAATAATAATAGTAATAAAAATAATAATAATAATAATAATAATAATAATAATAATAATGATAATAATAATAATAATAATAATGATAATAATAATAATAGCAATAATAATAATAATAATCAATTTCATGACAATAATCATATTAATATTAATTTGTGCTAATAACAACAATTGAGTTATCTTTGTCTATTTTTGTGCTAATGATAAGAATATAACTAGTCAACTAAATTAATAATATAAAAGTTGTATCTCTTTTCTCATGGGAAACGTTAAACACAGACCGCATTAATCAAATATTCATATAACTTCGTAAATGCCTTACAGATCGTGTGGCCAGCCATTTTCTGTAAGCATTTACTTTAAATTCAGTGCGTTCACAATGTAAAAACTTGGTCAACATCATGTCAAGTCATAAACCCAAAACTGGCCAACGACCCAAAGCGCCATCAATCAGAGTGTCAATCACTTTGTGTGTCCCACACGCCAGTATCCTAAGTAGATGCTTTCATGTTAAGCACACACAGACACACACACACACACAGACAGACATTCACACGCACACAGCTATATATACACGGATTTTGAGCGGTTCAACATTGTACAACAATGTCAACTGTTGTCCACTTGTTGAGCACCCACAGGAGCAGCGCCAGCAGCAGCAGTCCACAAGTCATGGACAAAGAAAACTTAAGTGGCCACAAACACGGCTCTGGGCTTCCCTCGGCTGGCATGTGGCTCTAATTGTATGTGTGTGTGTGTGTGTGTGTGTGTGTGTGTGTGTGTGTGTGTGTGTGTGTGTGTGTGTGTGTGTGTGTGTGTGTGTGTGTGTGTGTGTGTGTGTGTGTGTGTGTGTGCACATTTGGGCACAGACACAGACGCCACAGTGTATGCCCGGCCACGACAGCCACAATTCGAATGCGAATGCGAATACGCATACGACATGTGGGCGCTTTAATTATTCTGGGAACGGCTTAAGTCTTGGGGCCAACTTAAACAGCCACTAAACCCGGCCAAGCACGTGCTCCAAACTGTCCTCGAACAGTGTGCAATGAGTCAAACTGGCCATCCACACAGCCTTAACCCCCACAACAACCCATCATCCACAGGCCGTCAGTCACATAATTCCGCTCAACTGACACACAGCTGGGCCGGGCGGGCGGAGAGGCAACTGAAAAGTTTGTTTGGCACTTGGCAGCCGCGCCAAGTTGATCTTGTGCTAAGCAAAAGCAAACGCAAATAGAGCGTGATAACTCCGCCCAGCGCCCTGTGTCCGACTCAGTGTCAGCCAGAGTAAGGCGGCAAAAATCGAACCAACATGACGTGGCTGGAATTTATCTGCGAAATATAAGATACTCGTGCTTTCAGACGCTTAAATTTGTCAAAGGACTTGCACGAGTAGATCGTATTATTGCGCTACGGCTTTTGGAATTTCCACTGAGCACTATTAGAAACTCGGTAAGGTACTAAGCCAGATTATCCACAAAGTTCTACTTGACTTAGCTTTGCTTGCAATCGACACACTTTTCAAGTATCTCTTATTGTATGTTAAAAAGAATTTTCTTTTGAATCAGTTTTACTTTTTATGATATATTTTCGTTCGCTGTCAATTTTAACTTTACTTTTGTAATTGTTTGTTTAAATTATAATTTTGTCAAGATAATATTATAGAATTGTATTTAATTTGATTTGTTAGATTTTATCTGTTGTTAAATATTTTTATTCATTTTTGAATTTAACTTAAGAAATTGATTTATTTTTTAAGTTTTATACTTATAGTCATATATTTATATATAATTATTATTAAAATTTTATTTGTTAGTAATTGAGCTTCCCAAGAAGAATATTATTCGTTGTGAATTTATGATCTTTTCTGTATAATTATATTATTTATAATTATATTATTTATTTTGCTTTTACGAGTGGAATATGGTTGGAATTGGTCTACATTAGTCTACAACCCGAGAATTTCTCTGCATAAAACTTGTCACAGCATAATCGCAAATGTTCAGCTTCAATCTACCAACCATTTTGGACTTACCCAAATGATGTGCTATGTGATCCCGTTCCTCGGATTCGCCAATAATGAAATCCGAGTGCTGTTGCTGATGGTGCAACAGATCCATGTGATGCTGATGCATTTCGCTGTCGTCGTCATCCTGGGCGGCGGCCAGGGACCGGGAGAGGGTCAGCCAAGTGGCCGAGGCGGCGGCAGCGGCAACAATTAGCCATGAGCATATTTCCGGCATTTTATGTTTCCGCTGCAGTTTCATTACGCGGCGCCGGCGCTGCGCCAACGTTGCATCCGCTGTCAGCGGAAATATTTTAATTTTCATTTTTATTTGTTTATGTGTTTCTGTTTTTTCTTTTTTTTTTTTTTTTTTTGCAGCTGTTTTTTTCTGCTTCTGTCTCTTTTTCTTGTTTGTATTTTTTATGCTTTTTTGTTTGGCTGGGTTTTGTCAATGTTTGCGCGTTGCATAGTTTGTTTGCTCGACTCGCATATTTCTTTATCTGTGCGAAAATGTGTTCTTTAGCTGCTCGCTCTTACTTTCAATTGCTGCAAATGCAATTCATTGCGACTGTTAAATATTTACGCGCAACAATTTGTTCAGCCCTTGGCTGAGTGGCAAAATACATTTTCCATTGCATAGCTGCAGGCGCTGCGCAGCGTACATTCCCTTTGGAGTCCAAAATGTGCTCCGCTGCAAATGAAAGAAAAAGACAATATATTAAAAAATCATATCAAAATGCATGGCATGTTTTACTACTCTTCTTTTTTTTTTTTGCTCAACGCGTATTCATTATTGCTATTATAGCACATTCTTTTTTTTTTTTGTTAATTTATTTAACTGCTTTGTGCACTTCTGTTAGTTTTCATCATGGCATTATTAAATATCATTTCATTATTTATTCATTTGCATAAAAATAACCCCCACTGCGTCGGCGTCCATGAGTGCTTATAAATTATGTGCTAACAGCGAATATATAGCCGGTATTAATAGTTGGCAACTTTGTGGCTTAATTATGGTTGCATGAGCAGCGGTTATCATTGAAACAGAGTGCGAGAGAGGGGATGCGATGGAGGGAGACGGAGACGGAGAGGAAGAGGGAGAGGTAGGCAGGGAAAGACAGCCATTGAATCCATTTAATATTCTTTTAGAAATAGTTGAAACTCGATTTCAGCTGAACTACTTAAAAACCGTTTCAAGTTCGTTTAAGGCAAAGTAAGGCACTTATTTAAGCCACACTTAACTCATTGCGAGTTTCTATTTAGCAGCAATAAGCCGGCGTTGTCCGGCTGAAATTTAAACTTATTTGGAAACTTACATTTTATTAAAAACAAGAGCCAAAATAATAAAAAAATAAACAAAAAATAGAGCAATAATTATAATGAGAATCGACAAAATAAGTTACAAATTATCTTAAAATATAATAGAAGAACACTTTGACGTTTATTTTATTGCATTTTAAGAAAACTTGATTCCTCTTGCAAGCATGTTAGTTTAAATTAAGGTTTAAAACATACAATTGAATAAATAATAATATTTGAAATTATAATATTAATAAAATATAAATATATCAGTTAGAGTTAAAATGGAAACGATTGAAATATTGAATCTTTAAACACACTTAAAATTAAATAGGCTCTTTGAATGGAAAGAGAAACCGTTTAAATTAATGTTGAATGCCGGCGAGTAGGAAATTCTAGTCGCTTTTTAATTACACAAGCCCATTCATATAGCTAGAGCTACTGGAGGGGCATATGAATTAAAACAAGGTTATAGTCAAAGCTCTTCACATGACAAACTTGAGCCAGGTAAGCGCAATTTGCTGTTTTTTGAAGCGGGACAACGAGGCGTATGAGTAACTTGACATGCTTCATTTGTTGCATAAGCAGCTCGCAAATGGATCAACCGCAGGCATAGAGAAGTGCGCCAGAGGAGGGGGCGGGTGGCAGGAGTAGCTTGCTCGGCAGCTGAGTATCAAAACGGATGCCTCGTTTAATTGCTTGCAGCGCGCAAATTAGAAAACTCGGCGAGTGAGCACACACAATAAATGTACCAAGATGGAAACTACTACTATGTGGAACAGAGAGAGCCTTGGCCAGGGGGCGGCTGTCGAGGGAGGGAAGGCTGGCATAGCAATGGCAACTTGAGAACAAAAGTCAAGCGAAACACAACGGAAAGCCGGCAGAAAGGCATTTAAACTTTTGGACAAGTTTAATTTCCGTCGAGAGCGTTGGCCAAAATGAGCTAGAGGCGGCGAGTGGAGCGGCGGTGACAGCGGCATGGACAGCTATGAAATTGAAAGCACTTACAATCTTTGATGGAGTTGAGCCTCGGCAATCAACTAATTGCGGTGCGCCATAAGGACTCAATGCGGCATTGTCTTTGGGCTCTCGACTTCTTTCAATTCCTGACAACGACCACAATCTGTCTTTAGAAGTAACAGAAAATAACAAAAAAAAAAACGAAATGATATGAAATAAAAATGAAAAGGTTGCTTGTCATTGTTATTATCTGGTTATTACATATTACTTTTATGATCATCTACAGCGACTGTCGTCGTTTGGCTTTTTATCAGTTGACCAGGTGAAATTAATGAAGAAAAATGTCAGCCTGACCTTTTGTCCAGCTCGTTTGCTCATCGCCCTTTGTGCTCTTTTGGCCAGCTTTTCCACTGTTCTTTCCCCCCCCCCCCCCCTTAATATATATATTTTTTTTGCTTTATGGCTTTTGGGGTTTCAGTTTCATTGGCCGCTGGAAATGTCATAAAGATAGCACGCACACAAAAAGCCGGCGTTGAAAACTTGAATAAAATGTGTGACAAATGGTTTTTTATTTAATAAATTGGCTTAACCGGTTGTCGTGTTTCGGCCCATAACCTCCATCTACCTCTCCGCTTCCAACTTTCTGCTAGCCGAAACAGGGCCGGGATCTGACATTTATGGGCGTAATTGAGTAAATGTGAAATGATTATCAGCCAGGGCTTACGCATTGCTGGCAGATTCTTTGTACTTTAATGTCAGCTCACAAATAGTGTGTATACTCACATATATACATATATAAATTTTCAATGTGGATTTTGCTGCTGAGGGGTCGTAATTAAACCGGGCCACACCAATAAATATTATTGAGAAAAAACGAATTGAAATAGGAGCACAGACACAAACATTCACGATATCGATTATTATCGATTGTTTGGAAACAAATTCGATCTGCGCAGGCACTAGGAGGACCCACACCTGAAGGTAAGGCTTAAGGCAAAATTCTTTAACTTTAATAGGTTCTGATATTCTTGCGTTCATACATACGAACAGACGAACAGGCAGACAGACGGACATGACAAGATCGACGCAGCTATTGCATCCGATCTAGAATATAGATACTTTATGGGGTCCCATATGCCTCCTTCTGCTTGTTACAATACATTTGCACAAATATATAATAATATAATAAAAATCAAACTAAAAGAGAGAAATTTGCGTTTATCAAATAAAAGATCACAAAGCTGCTGAAACCTTGAAAACTATATTGAAATAAATAAAACTAGTTTTAAATGTTATGCTTGGAGAAACTAACAAATGCTAATTAAATATTTAATTTGTTGTTTTGCTAAGAGACCAGAGGCATCAAAGAAAATGAATAAACATTTAATTTGTTGTTTTTAGCGTTCTTCCATTGAAAAGGTAGTTCGAAAACGCATTTAAAATTCAACTTAACTTATTCTATTGATAAACTAAACTGTTGCAAATCATATTTCTGTACTTATGAGACTACCGTATATAATTAATTTGAAATAATTAAAAGGACTAAAAATTCCATTTAAAATCAAATTATAAGAAAGTAAAGCTTAATTAGTTAAAACAAATATGTTGAGGCTTAGAAATCCTATTAGAAAGTGTTGCGCATTTTCAGAAGCATTTTCTCAAGATGTTCAGCGTGTTAAGAGATGCACTCATATTTGATCCAAATATTCCCCAGTTGAATGTTCGTTCGCAACTTTGTGTTGGCTTTGATTAACAGCTTAGAGACCCAAGCGACCCAGATGGCGCTCCCTAGTCAAATCAGCCCGAAAGCCAAACAATGTCATAATGATAAATAGCCCAAAAAGACACAAAAACTCACAGACGGACATGCCCAGACATAAACGAACGCACACACACACACTCACACACACACACAATCGAAGGCAGGAAAAAGAAAATCTTGAGCCAAGAAGCAATTTTGTCTAAGCAGTTGACACCTTTTGGCGGCGCATCATTAACATTTACATTTCGATTGTCAACACTGGCAGCTGGAGGTGCTGTTATTGCTGCTGTTATTGTTACGCTGTTGTTGTTGCTGTTATTGCAAAACTGTTGTTATAGTTGTTGTTGTTGTTGTTGCTGCTGTTTTATTTGTGCTTTGCTTATTGTTTGGCTTTTGTGCTGGGCTTTGTTTTTGGCTCGCTTCATGTTTTGTTTCATTTCGTTTCGCTTTCGTTTTTATCACCAACTGTCAATCGTTAAATGACAAACAATGAAATGTGGCAACGGCGCCACGGCTTGTCCAAACAAAATGGCGGCCAATGATTTCAACTGTCATTTTGGGCGGCTAATCCTGCATTCTTTTGCTTATATCGGCTACAAAATAACAAATGCTTGCACCCTCACTCCCATTTTCACCTTATCCTTAACCTCAGCCACAACTTCTCCCCCCTTTTCCAGACATCGTTTATATTTCACTTTGCTCACGCGATGTTTTCGTGCCGCATTCCTTTGCATTTCCCTTCCTTACAGCCAGCTTTGCGTGTCGGCGACTGCTGCAACAGCAGCTTGTCACATAACGGGCTTGTTTTATGTCACCTGCTGGCATCGTTTTGGGCGAACTCACAAAGGTGTTGCTGGCATCCAGCTGTCGGCTACGTAGCTGTCGCTCATAATATGCATAAAAGCGTTCCAAATTAAGCCAAATACCATAAAAAATTGTCTGGCAAATTCGTGTTTGGTAACTAAGTATTTTGGTTTTGTATGAACTGTTGGCACAAAACTGTTCTGTGGCGTTGCCAAAACAGTTGCCAAAGCTCTTCTGGCTTTTTTTCACATTCTATAATTGTTCAAGCTTACAAATTGATTTTAAATTATTATTTTTCATCTTTCCCTGCATGTAAAAAAGTAACATTACACCTGAAAATTGACTTTGCTTTGCTGATTTTCATTGCATGACGCTTATAATTCTCAACAGGTTAATGTAAACATAGGTAAACTACAGGTTAAAGTGACAAGCCGAGTGACAAGCCGCTCGGAACGGGAGGCTCTTCAGATTGTTGTCTTTTGTTAAGAGAAAGTTCGATCTAAACTAACAGAAAAGTTTCTCAAAACTAACATTTGATTGGGGTGATACAATTTACTGCTAAACTGTATCAATTCGCATGTTCTTCAGATTTAATGCCTGCAACTTTTATCTACATGAAGACCAAGAAATGGCTTACTAGCAAATGATTTAAAGCAAATAAGCAGAAGTTCTGAGAAGCTTACGACTATTCGGAGAATCTTGAGATAACATATTTGAAGGGTCTGTAAAGAGTGAACATAAGTGTAAGCTCTTAAAAGGCAACAGACAGCTAGTGTTGTAAAGCAATCGAAGTTTAAGCTATTAATAAGTATTTTGTGAAAAATTCAAGTTGGGCACTCTATGAAAAGAAAAGAAGAATGCGAGGC